GAAAGAAAAATAAAAAATAAAATATCAGTGCCCACTGGTGTATGTTTCATTAAAGAAGGTGTTTATGGAGTGAATACATTATTTATTTTTTTAAATGTCTATTGTGCGAAATACAACTTATAAAGTTTTTTTTTTAAATCATTTAGTGTGTGTCATAACATTTAGTTAGTTATTAAGGTTGAGTCAGACTTCTCTATTTCTAAATTTTAAAATTGTTTTCCGCTTATATGTAGTTTCCTTATTCCCGGAAATGGAGAAGAAAATAGGAAAAAAGACAAAAAAAAATTGCTTCCAAAACAAATTCCATTTGTGAATCCTTAAAAGCAAATGTTGATTTCTACCACAACTAAAAACTGCTTGGTTGTTTTGAAAAACATTATGTGTATTTTCGTGACGGATAATGAATAATCAAAATCTAAAGTTGTAAGGATGACATATCAGATGGAGTTATTCCTCTTTACCTTAAAACACAAGGTTTATATCGTCCAAAAATTGTGTAGACTTGTGTGATAAATAATAAGTTCCATAGGGATAATTTTAATGTTTCATCTTCGTTTTTCGTCCTACGTGATTTCTTTGTATTTGTTTTCTCCAAAGATATCAGGTTTTATACTTCATAAGAAGTGTAGCAGTTGCATACTTATTTTTGTAAATGTATACATTTAGGTAAGTAGGGATAAATATTTAAAAATTAATATTTGCCATAGGGTTTGAGGTTTGGGTATGGGGGAATGGCAGAGATATACAACCAGCACTTTATTAGATAAATCACCAGCGGTCATTAAGATTTTTATTGTCAGAGAACATGCAATCCAGAAATCACCTTAAAAATCCAATAAGCTTTTAGCTGCTCATGTGATTTTTTTTCCTTAACGTTTAATATTTTGAGGCATCCAAACTTTTCAACCCTATTGTAAGTTTTCCGTTTAGGTCAAAAAAAAAAAAAAAAAAAAAAAAAAAAAAAAAATGAAAACAAGTTACAAGGCCTTAAATATAGTTTGGCAATTATAAAAGATTGAGCAAATGCACATTAAATCTAAGGCTTCAAGTTATTCTTTTTGTGTAAACAAGAATTCAGCGATCAACAGATACACACTACATGTATATTTTGATAAAAGAAATCATCTCATGTTTATTCGTCCTTACAAAAATGTGAATTTTAGAGCTCTTTTATTTTAGAGAGAAATCCCAGTTACTTAATTACTTCAAAACTTCATCCCCCCCCCCCTTACAAAAAAAAAAAAAAAAAAAAAAAAGACGAGTCATCGTTGTTTACCAAAGTTATTTTTATCGTTTATATTATTATTGTTTGAAAGGAAATGGGGCATGATTTCTGTATTGGAAATCAAGGAAGGAAATGATTAATCGCTGAACGTTATACTATCTAAACGTAATCAAAATAAATAATGGTAATGTATTTAACAGCAAGATCGTGATATAGGAGCACAAACTGTGCATCATGATGTTCCCTCAAATTAATATCAATAACTCAATATCATTCACGCGTGATGGCGTACATTTGACACTCTCAGTTATATGAACATGCTAAGTTTTCCAATCACTTTTTATGGGGTTTTTTTCCCCATGCAATTCTGACGCACGTCAAAGTTTTGGTTTATATTTTACACCATTGTCTGAACGGATCTGGTTAATTAATTAATCACCTTTAATTAATTAATCTGAGTAGGAGTGTAGATGGTTGTATAACGACGTTTGTCTTATTGTATTTTTGGTTGAAAGGTACTCTATTGTCTGATTAAGATAACCCGAAAGAATCAAACAATGATCTACTAGCATATAGGTAACGACTCCTCTACTGCAATATCATCGTTTTACTTTGAATTATATCCCAAAACAGGAGAGGCTAAATCAAGCATGTTTATAGTTGCACTGAACACTGAAAACATTGTAAAAATCTACAAGAACCAGAAATAAATCTTTGTACATTAGAAATGGTACTATTTACGTCAATAGGTATATTTTCGCTACAGCCATACCAACAATAAACGAAAGATTTAATAGAGTTTGTTCGGAAGCTCTGCTCTTTTTCCATAAAAAGTGATTTTAAGAAGTTTGTCCTCATTAACACATTTTTTCATCGGCAAAGTTTATTTTACAATTAGAAAGATTTCGGTTCATAATATAACCTCTTTATCTCTCAATTTTTTAATAGAATATACTATTCACCAATTTTTACAAAACACATAATTTCATAAATATTCATTATATTCATGGAAAGTTTTAAATATGTGTTAGAAAAAATCCCCAAACAAAAACAGGTAAGGTTAAGTATGAAAACCACAAAGCCGTTCATAATGTGCATGATTTATGAGTTCACTCGTCCATAATATAAACTTTATAATTCATCTGCATATATATTTATTATCATTTTCACGGCTCGGCGCGTTGTACCAGATATTTCATCGACAATCAACAAAATGCTCTCCTCCCTTCATTAACAACCCAACCATTGTTTTGTATTCTTTAATGAACTTTAATTAATTACTTTTGCAAGTATCTGTCAGTTTAGGATTAACATACAAGTATTCTTGCGTAATTTGGACGAAAAAAAGTAGTTATCTGCGAATGTAGTGATATTTGCTGAATGAAATTGTCAAATTTTATTGAAAACTTTCCTTCTCTCTCTCTCTCTCTTTATTTTGTTCATTTGCAAAATATTAATGTGCGAAAAGAGGACAGTTACGAATCAATTTTAACATACTTATCGTCACAAGCTTTAAAGACTTCTTAGGCCCATCTCCCTTCAAGAGGACCGGCGAAGTTTTCAGCAAAAAAAAAGGAGGAAAAAAAGACAAAAAAAAAAAAAACAAACAAAAAAAAAACAAAAAAAAAACAAACAAACAAACAAACAAAAAAACATATATTTGGAGGGTTTCCCTTAAGATCAGACGACACGTTCCTCGAATATCTGTTTTTGCATACCTTTGTAATATACCAAAAATATTTATAATTATCATTATATTTTAATTTCTAAACTATTTTCAAAATGTCTGAAAAATATATCGATCCAAAAAAGTGATAACAGCAGTTCAAGTGATTTCTAGTATAGGATTATATAGGAAATACCATCCTCCGGAATCTTGCACAAATGCCTGGTAATGTACCGCAATTTTTTGTGAGGGAACTCCTTAAAGTAGCAATATATTGGGAAAATTTACATATTCTTTTAGGAACGTGTCTTCTGACCTTAATTAAGCAAAACATGGACACGGCCATTCTTTTTATGATACTGGGGGCTACAAATCTCTTATCCACAACTCCTATACTACCGAATAAAAAATAAGGAGACTCTCCCAGAACCTTTATTTCATTGTGTCATTGTGCACCTTCTATTTTACTTCTTTTCAGACACACATTTACACTTTCTCAAAGCAAAAAAAAAAAAAAAAAAAAAAAAAAAAAAGGCTTTCTTATTATGTGGAAGCGGGAGTATCATTTTATGATCTCATTGCTCACTATACCCCTCGTTTAAAATTGTTTTTAATATGAAATTTATGAGTAGAAAATTTTGATTTTTAGAAAATGATGAAGGCAGGGCAATATACATTCTTCAAGTACAAGGCGCATAAAGTTATCGTGTCAGAACTAGTACTAGTTAATGTTTAGAAGTATTTATTTTGAACAAACCATGAAACAAAGAAAACATTATTAAAAATAATTGTGTTAAAGTATTGTTTTTCACTCACTTACAACAGAAATGAAATTATTTTCCGTTGTACAATGAGGTGCCTTCCCACAGAGACTATAAGTTTATTTTTTAATATAGCGGGCAGAAATAGAAACATGGCGTATAGAAGTGAAAAGAATGTTGAAAGTTAAATAAATATATTAATAACTTATTATCTTAAATAACAGACTTAGGCAACATGTATGATTAATATTTATCTTAGCAAGTTATCCCAAAAAATTATCATTCATTTCTTGTCGATAGAAACGCGGCGTATAGAAGTGAAAAGAATGTTATAAATCAAATACGTCAAAATTATACATATTTATAATATTATGTATGAAATAAATTATATATATATATATATATATATATATATATATATATATATATATATATATATATATATATATATATATATATATAACCCCTCTATTTCTAGAGAAAATGTTTTGTGCTGTTCATGTAAATTGAAGATGATAAACATTTTTCTTCATATTGTTCAAAGTATGATCAATACAGATAGAAATGTTTAATGTGAACACATATATTAGTAATAATCCCATTAGGAAAATTGTCAATCCTACAAATATATCAGCTTCCAAAAGGATAAATTATGTTGTTTCTTGAAAAACTTCTTTGACCTCAGAAATTCAAAAGAAAGCCAACAATGACTACTTAGAAACATGTGAATATATTCTGCAGTTTTGTAGATTATGCTCATGTTTGATACTTTGTATATATTAATCTGTGTTTAGTTTTATGTTATTCATGATTTTTAAGTGAATTAATTTGAAATCAAATACATGTATTAATAACTTATTATGTTAAATAACAGAGGCAACTTTCATATTTTATATATGTATCTCAGCAAGTTATCCCAAAATTTATCTGTATTTCTTAACGATATATGTTTTAAATGTTTTGTTTAACAAATATCCTTAAAACATTTTTTTTTAAATTTAGAACGACAAGATAAATACATAAATATATGCACATGATAATGAATTACAATCACCGCTAAAAATATTCATATCCTTTCCGTATTGAGGAATTTGATTCCAAAATAAGCGAGCGTATTGACGTTTGTTTGACAACACTCAATATGATGACGTCAGAGAGACATATGTATGTGTTTTTGGATGATCTTTGTCCCGGGGCGCTAAGCCACCAAAAGTGCTGGAGATTCATTGACGTGTGTCTGTCAATCATTCATATATGACATTTAGAGAACGACCAATGAAACTTGGGTTCCGCCTTCTATCGCGTATATAAAAGAAAGGAGTAAAAATTGTTACAACACAAGAACCAATTAAGTTGGTTACAATTGACGAAAATATCAAACATGGTAAGAAAATTCTTTTTAAAAACTCAGATGAAAAGAAATAGGACAAAATACTTCGATTAAAATCATCTTCTTTCTTACTATTTCTAGTATATTTATTCATTTCAATGCACTAAAATAAAATTGCTTTTTGAAAACGTGAAAAATTTTCTAATTAAAAGAAATGTGTGTGGAATATGGTAAAAACCTATTAGTAAAGTAGCTAAATGATCATAACTACTTAATAAAATGTTTTATTAAGTTTACACTAGGAGTCTTCATTCGATAAAGTGGTTCCTCATCAACATAGACTGAGCATTAATACGGATATTTTTCTTTCAGATGTTTTACTTCTTTGTCCTTGCACTAGCTGCTACAGTGCAGTCCGTTATGTACGGCCCTGGAGCCCCTCTCTCTAGTGATCCACGACTGACAGGGGTCAACGCTAACCCTTTTGCAGATTTCATGAGGCTTCCCATCCAAATGAAGCAATGTAGAGCTACCACTCATTTCAACGCCGACGCCATTTTTGACCAGAGTTTTGTGTGTCCTAAGAACATTAAACGTCCACAGAACTGGCCAATCACAAGCACCGACAGATTCTTTATTCCAGATCCAGAACTTCAAGGTTACGCACAGTGAGTATGATATTCTATTACTTGTACCTACAATAAACATGTAGTAAATGAAATCAATTTATAAAGATTCATGAGAAAAATGATAAAATATCGAATATTAACCTATTTAAGAATGTTAAATTAATATTTATAATGAACTTAATGTTCAAAGCATTTATTTGATCAGGGAAATCCCTTTTTATCAGAATATCCTGCTTTTGTATTTTTGTCATTGTTATAAAAGATTTATACACCTTATATATATGTGCTTAAAACATTAGTTGTTTTCGTTAAGCAATTTGGTTCTCAATGTTGACACTAGTAATTTTTTGAAATTCAATCTTTTTAACTTGTATCGCAGACAACCCCTCTACAGAGCTTTTGCTAATCCACAAAACAATCCAGATGCCATGGCTTACTACAAACAGACATATGACGCCTTGGAGACATGGAAATACTCCGGACTGGAGCAGGAGTTCTCTCAGTGTTTCTCCGATCTCTACAGATACGAGTAAGTTTTTTTTCATTGCTTCATAACTATTTATACTCATTTTTTTTCACTGCTTCATAACTATTTATACTCACTGCATTAAGTCTCGATATAAAATTTCATATATATTTATATGAAAAAAGAAATTCAATTACAATTTTAATGATTAATCTTTTTTTTTACCAGAGATGCCGTCCAAATCACTAAATACAAGCTTGACCCTGTCTGTAAGACAACACTGGTCAATCTGACCGATGAGGCTATCTGGCACACTTATAACGGCAGAGATTACAAATGTTTCATCCCCTTCCCCCAGCAACTCACAGCCGTCAAGTGTACTCACCCGTAAGTAGACATACCCCATAAATTTCTTATTTCAAGGTTCGTTTATGAAAACTAATTGCGGAGCAATAACTACAGTTTTTCTAGTACAATGTTCAAAGCAGTCTGTAATTTGCATAAATATCAGTTTACTTACAAAGAAAAGTGACTTGGAAGTACAATGTGGTTATCTTTTTACAGGCGATACTCGAACATGGATAAGTGCCGACTTGGATATGGTGTCAGAAATGAATACAGATGCGCTCCAACCAACTTTGTCCGCAGGAAGGTCAATCTTGTTTGTCCAGAAATCCAGATGGTCTTTGTCCGATCCTTCGACGTCCCAACCGCCTGCAGCTGTAAACTTTGTTACGAATGTGATAATGTCATCCCTGACCCAAGAGCCTACTTGGGGTTTCCTAATGTTGGAAAAAAGTAAACCAATAAATCCGCCAAAAATTGTGATAACAGATGATGTAATGAAGAAAATGAAAACGGCTGAAGATACTTATTTGAGATAAGATGTATTGTAAGCCAGTTTCTATTTCTTTATTTTGTCATCTGTCTGATTTATAACAAATCTACACCAAGTGCCATAGTGTGCATAAATGAAATTGAAATATTGCGAGAAAGTGAATGCATATTACCACGTTCGGGCACGTGAAATGTTATGATTGTTTTTGTTTGGGTTATGATGTGTGCTTTGTACTCTTGTTATTATTGTATATGCCAAAATTTTGTTTTGCTATTTTGTATATCATCATCCTGTTGTTATTTGAAGTCCCTATTATGTTTTTGAGATATTTTTGCATTAAAAGTTTAAAAATTTACTCAACATCTTTTTATTACTCAAGTTGAGTTGCACTTTGTTTCTCTATAAGGTGTAATAACGAAAAATGGAGTTACAGTAATAATGCTAGTTGAATGAGGAGCAAAGTGTAAATATGTGTTATGACTTAATAGGTTTATATATATATATATATATATATATATATATATATATATATATATATATATATATATATATATATATATACAATTATGTCGACAATATCGATAAAACATTATGAAATGGACATACCTCTTTCTCGGAGAATAATATATACTCTACATTATGTAGAATAACATTAATGGGGAACTTAAAAAAACGACTATTTTTTTACCCTGAAGCAGGGCAGAAAAACGACAAAACGTAAAGGGTCTTTCCCTAGCCTAAAAATAAACCAATTATCTTGTCATATTGGTAACAATAAGATGAACAACCATGGAAGCGTTATCTTTATCTCTTGTCAGACTTCGTTTATAGTCATTTTTTTTTCCAGAGACCTTAGGCATTTTATCAAAATAAATGTCGAAGACAATTCATGATTCCAGAATAAAATATCTGTCCCATTTTGTGGAAATCTATAAAGATCACCGTAATTCCTTTAAATCAGACCAAACCTAATACATATTTGACATATCCTTTTTAAATATTTTGGTCTTGTGTTATCCCCTGTATAGACTGAGCATTTTTACTGACAGTTTACTATTTTTATGTACACAATTGTTATTTTATTTAGATTTCAACTCAAATGTTGAAAATGCTTTCATCGTCCTTGTGGACCAGGTCTTCAAATAATCTGTTGAGAATTCAGCCGACTTATTTATATATTCCTATGATGCAAAATTTATTAAACTATTTCTATATGCGTACCCATGTATGATGTTTCCGTGTCTGTGTCCGGGACACGGGGTCTGAATTTTTGCCCTGTTCACGATTCCTAATCTTTACTAGATATAGGAAATTGTCAACTGTTCGTTATCCTCACCTATTACATTAACACCACCTTCAATTCGACATTCAGGTATATCGAGGACATTTTATCTATCAAAAAATAATTTCATCCACATGATATCGACTTATATCGAAAATAAAGGATATCGCAGGATCTGCCACATCTGTTTCCCATTTGAATGTTTTACTGATTTTAGACGTTAATTGCCGTATGACAACTAACTATTTGACAACGAAATGATTTTCAATCGTCAACTTCTGCTATTCATGTAGTTATATTTCAAAATCGTATATGGTGTTTTGTCTTCAAACTAATTCGGTTCCGAGTACCCTGAAAAATAAGTTACTTACAAGGCTTTCAACAACCACAATTCAAAAGTTTAAATTTTGCTAATTGTTTGATCGTCATAATTTCCTTCTTTCAAAACGCAACTTATCTTGGGGACTATTTTGTCTGACATTTTTCATATCAATAATAAGTCCAATGTTTTCTTCTGATTTTAGAAACTGACTATTCTGTTCAATTGATCGATACATAGGGTTTGCTGCGATTGTGACCGGTCAAAATGGGATGTTATCATAGGCATTTAATCCCAACTCTGATGTTTTTCAGGAGTTCTTGTGTTTGCGATTTCTATGATTCGCAGTGTTTTCAGAATTTAGAAGATTGATCCCTATATGTTATCCTCGCCTTTTTCATGGTTAATTTTTGAAGAATTAATATAATTTGTCTTTGAATGAAAAAAGTCTCCTATGACTTTCACAATACATATTATTTTGTGTAAAGTCCCTTTAAACGATACAAATTATAAGAAGTGCCAAAACAGACCATTTAAAACAGAGATGGGATCAGATGCAATGAAAAAAATAAGCATCCTCTACTGACAGGTCAAACTCTTTGTCATTATCGGGTTAAGGGAAAAAGCATGAAAATATTGACCTAACAATAACTACAAAAAACATCAGTGTACATTCGACCTAACGACAGATAGTGAGTAACATTAAGGTTTATCGACCATAGAGTTTGCAAAAATAAAAAAATATAAATCTACAACTTTCACTTTTTTGCATGAAATTATCAAAGGTAGGCATTGTATTTTTTTTATAAGTAAATAATATTGAAATGAAAATATGCCTCAAGTGATGAATTGATAACGAAAAAATTATTACGAATTGATAACAAATTACTCCTCATTTCATGTGCTAGGAACAAATCAAAGGAATAAGTCAATCATAACACACTTGTTTCGTTCTTTGCGTCAAAATTAGATAGTTGAGGAAATGAGTTTAAAAATACATATGATATACGAATATGTATTTAGAGTGTTCTCTGCTCTTGATGAATAACAAGTGACAAAACACTTTCATTTTAAATGCAAATTGATAATAAAAAAATGACAAAACAGTCCATCAAGAAAAAATTATACATGTATTTAGATTCTGAAAACTCCCTACTTAATTTTGTTGACTATACTCCATCAAAGTTCCGTAGATTTACCAACAAAAATATTGCAAGCTATTTTTTACTATACAGTTAAACACGCTTATAACGAAGTGCTACGGGCGGAGATTTTGCTTCGTTATAAACATTATTCGTTAAATCCGTTAAGTTCACAATATATTTTAAAGCAGTGGAATAAAAATACTTTGCTATAAGCATCAATTCATTAAAAGCATGTTTTACTGTAATACGATGAAGTATATACAAAAGATGCTTTGCATGTTCTTCATGGAAATATCAGAGAGTGGTTCTTTTCTATACTGTAATGCAACTAAACAACTTTTTCTTGCATCTCTCCATCAAATAGATTATTGCAAGTAGTAATGATGCTAATTATCAAATCAAAAAATAAATACATGTACATGTAACATCATATCTAGCACCTATTTTGAGCACTAATTGTGCACCTTTAACTGTCGACCTGTTTTTATATTTCTCTGAAGCAAAATTCATTCAAAAAACTCTACATGAGAAACCATTGTTGTGGCCTTCAACTCGACATTCAGATATATCAATTAACAATAGTTACTTCCATTGATATGTCGACTCGATGTATCTCAGTGAGCTCGAAATAAGAGACACAGAATCTTTCACAACTGTTTCATATTTGAATGTTTACTGACTACAGACGATAAATGCCAATTAAAAACGTAGTAACATTTCGCTACCCCCAACATAGTTAGTTTATGTCTCCCAGCTTATACCATACTCAAGAGCCTGCTCAGGGTACGATAAGTTTTTAAACCGAGGCAGGCTACTGACAGATAGGTTGATGTTACAGGGATTCAACAATCTAGTTTAAACTCAACATTTCGTACATTCTATGGTATTTATAATGACTTTGTTAGTAAATATAGCCATTGGGTGCATTAAGACTGACATATTTCATACCTACTTGCTAGGCCTTTGTTTATATATACTAAATACGACATCGAAATATTCCGTCCACCGCGTCGATGCATAGGGCTCACGGCGTGTGCTTATACTCTTCCTAGGCATCTGATGCTATCTCTGGAATTGCCAGGGGTCCATGTTTTATACCCTTTTCACAGATTTGTATTGTTTGTATATATTTTTTTTTTTAGATCAATCACTCTTCGAACCCTTCTTTTTTTCATAAGTTTCGTGTTGTTGTTGTTGTTTTTTTTTTTTTTAAATATTATTATTTCCTATAGACAAATATTATTATATGCTTTATTACATATTTAATTTGTGCTTATTTACAATGTATTACACATTTAGGCATTCCCATAATAAATAGTGCTTAAAAGGAATTAAAAGAAATAAAATTTAAATGTTCAAATTGAGTATTGTTAAATAATTTCAAATGCCAAAATGCTATGTAAAACATTGCTTCGTTTAAAAGAAATCAATTTCTAAAGACAGATAGACCTCATTGCATTTGAATATTGTTTATTTTGTTATTTAAAAAAAAACCCAAAATGATCTGGTAGAGGGGACATTGTCTACGTATTTTTTTAAAAAGAGCCTCGTACAACGTTAAACAAAGATTGAACATTTGAGGATAATAAGTTTATAAATACTAATATAAAATAATTATAAAGTTTACATATGCATACTGTTAACCAAATTTTATTCGCGTGCTCGAAATATCGGTAAATTTGACCACCTCCTTTTACTTGCGAATGTTCTATAGTCGAGAACTAACAATTGATGTTACCTCAGTGGCGGAAAACAATAGTGGCGGATGGAATTCAGATGAATAGCGAATAAAAAGTGTCGGTTATAATGCATATAGTTAGCTAACAGTATCATAGTAAAATTTATGCATGCACATGAATTCATACATAGAGAAAGATATCTGAGATCTAGATATGTTTATATCGACTGAATATTTTCACCCTTTATATCTATGAAAATCACTCTCCTGAATCAATCCATGTACGTTTACTAGTTCATGGCAACTTAAGGTCACATGTGTGAAAGATTAAGCATTGCATGGGTTATTACAATAATGTACGGATAAGTAATATGATACATTGGGTACTTAAACCTTATTTATATGAAAAATTTATATAGTCATAAATAAAAAAAAAATGAAATGTCTATTTTTAATGCGGGATTAAGAGTTGCAACCATTTCAGAAAAAAAATTAATATAACTCGCATGAATAACCCGTGTACGTGGATTGTGTATTTTTCTGCAGTAGTTGCAACCATTAATTCCCATACTAACCAAAAAAGAAAGCATTTTATTTTTAAAAGACTTATCTTATTTCTGTATATTTCAGATTCCATTCTAAATAGGAACAACAAACACGGATTTCATTTCAAAGCAAAAACGTTTATTGCATAAAAATATTGCACATTAGAAATAACTCTCTCACGTCGGGCACTTGCATACAAATAACACAAATTGGATGATTGATGATGTACATATATAGGCAATGATTTGGCAACCTTGGATTTTGAAAGTCTGAGGTAGAATTTATAAGATATCATTTCCGATAAAACAATATACATAGCGAAATGTAAATATAATTTCTACCCCAGCAACAGACTTAACAACATAAACAAATTATAAACGTACAAAAATTATTTGAAATCCCTATTATCACAGATAAACACATCAAAAAATTGATGCTAGAATGTATGATTTCAACATTAAGAGATATCGATAAAAATAGCCTCAGATTCATTTCTAAAATAAAACAAAATTAACCTTATTTTTAAATGTCAAAATGCAAAACTTAGAAAACAATCAATTCTTATTCAATTTTTACATATGGATACAATTTCAGGATTTAAACAATTTGGGTTTTTGTCCAAAGAAAGAGGACTTCAGAATTTTTTTTTTTTTTTGAAATTGGATAAATTAGGAATGTTCTATTGTCACTGAAAGGCTTTATCCTTGTCTGAGGAGGAATGGGTTACGCTTGGGGATGGTGCTGACACACTTGACCTCCTGTAGACTACATGTTTGGGGGAGAGCGAAGGTCCGGGTCCGGCACTGGGGGACGATATCTGGGCAGTACATGATGACCTCTCTCTCCTGGATCATCTCTGGGAGGCACTGGTAGGCGGGACTCATCTTCACTGTCAGGGCAGGCAGTTTTCTGAGGAAACAAAGCATTGTTTTAAAAAAAATATTTGAAAAGTAAAATATCTTGGTGAAACTTTTTCTACTAGAGTATTCGATAAAAGGTTTTTTGACAAACTTCAAGGAATAACAAATGATTACTTGAATCTCATAGATGCCATTAACAGGAGCTTTAAATGATAACCGATGTTAATAAAAATTGCGAGGAACAAGCAAGAAAACAAAATAATATTTATTAATATAAACTTACTCTCCACAGGTGGTGTACCAGAGTCTCTGGGTGGGAGCCACGTAACAGCGGTAGGTACCGTTCATTCCATTGTGGTCCTCAATAGTGAGATAGGCCCCCAGTACTGGCACTCTCTTCTGGATGCATACATCCTTACATCCAAACTCATACTTATCGTGTTTAAAGTACCTGTTGAACAAAATGCATTGGTTATGATTCGGTTAAATTGTCATTTCTAAAACCTTCTTTGTCAATCAACATCATTCCTTAAAAATGCATACTCTTAGAAGAATTCTTAATATTAAAGTTGTAAGATATATCTATCTAGGTGGTAACTTTTGCACTCTCGAATTCAACTATTCTTACCCATATTCACTGTAGTCCAGTGGATTGTAGTATTGATTAAAGGCCTGAAGCCTGTTCCATTCTTCTGCGTTTGTTCTGACACTTTCCATAACTCTTCTTTCTTGTCTAAGTATAACAAATGATTGAATTAGATCTTTAAATAAGTAAACTAGGTAGTAAAGAAATAACAGTTAATTGATTGGAGGTACATGTGGGGGAAAATTGTAGTCAATTAACCTATTCACCTTATTACATATGACATACTTCAATGAAAATACAAGAAATTTGATTATTGTTTTATTTTTTTTTTTTTTTATTTTTTTATTTTTGGAAATAATAAAATTAAAAGGAGAAGGAAGAATTTAATACTTACTCTGGGTTCCATTCAGGGGTGATAAAATCCTCAGGTTTTACAATCTCAGCGTGACCAGAAGCCTCACATTGTTTTGGGGTAACAGGTCTACGCCCCCTGCCCCTCCCACGTCTCAGACTTTGGGTCAAAAACTGACTTCCGAAGGACTTGGGTTTGGAGATTGCGGCCTCAGCCAGAAGGGCCGCGAAACAAATGGCTGAGATTGATATCAAAAGCTTTGCAAGCTGGAAAAAAATTAAGAAGTGAGTATTTTTCTAGCTAACATCTATGACAGGAGATATTTAAAATTCATAGACATTCATGCAGTTCTGTAAAAACTTAAATAAAGAGTAATGGATATTATCAACCTATAATATTTTATTTTTACCAAATAGAATCAAAAAGAGTCAGTGTTTTTCATTCTATTTAACTATTGTCTAAATTTCAAGTCTTACCATTGTGTTTTCTGTGCTATTTCTGTTTGCTATAACTTTCCCTTGCAGGTATATTATTCAAGGTAAGCCACTCAAGCTTATATACCAGAATATCGCGGAAAAGACGTCCCAATCATAACCACTTCGACCAATCAAAATCATCGGGCTTGTACGCACGAGGAATGACGTATTCATGTCTTAATTTAGTGAATGATTACATTTACAAGTTCAAAGATTAAAGATGAATTTTGATTAGCAACTTAAGACACACCACAATATTAAATTTTCTATGTTTATATTTTATTAATTATACCTGATATTAATTAACTCTTGAAAACATGGAGGTGTAAAATTTCCATTTTGGCATTTTTGTTTTGTTAGATTGAAGACCACAGGGTAATGGTTGAAAATTTTAGAAAAATGTCTAAAATTTTAGAAAGATATTTACTGGGGAAAAACTCATTTATTTTCTGTCTCAGAAGCTTACTTTTTTTTTTTAATTTTGCACATATTTTTCTCTATTACATAGTACACTATTTCATACAAAATCTGCACATTCTGCACTTTCAAAGAAAATATTTTTTGTGTTCCACTTCCCTTGGGTATGACGTCAAACAGAGCTATTCCTGTTTTCTGAAACGAGCATTGTCCCTAGGTGGTTAGACACAGAGAATCGTAGATTTAATGACGTGTGTCTGTCACTCAGCCATGCATGAAATGACAAATGAACCGTTATTTCCACCTTCGAGAAGTATAAAAGCCGAGAATACACACTGTGTTGACATAAAATCCCAGCAAGTCATTACACGTGGTCAAAATTGCAAACATGGTAAGAAAAAAATATGTTTTAGAATCTGAAAAAAAAAATTAATTTAAATTTATACATACCTTTTTCTTGATTTTTCATTTAATGAAATATTATAATGATTCGGAACTTCAATTTAACAGGAATTGTAACAGGAATTGTTCTGAACAACTTTCTATTTAACGAATGAAAACTTACAAAGAATGAATCTTTTATTTTTAAATCATAATCTTTTGGAAACATAAAAATACAAAAAAAAAAAAAAAAAAAAAAAAAAAAAGGAAATAAAAACATTCACTATCTATACCTCAGGAAAATGTATATTTAAAATGGTGAGCACTAACCAAAATTGTTTATGCTTTCAGATGTTTTACTTCTTTGTCCTTGCACTAGCTGCTACAGTGCAGTCCGTTATGTACGGCCCTGGAGCTCCTCTCTCTAGCGACCCAAGACTGATAGGGGTCAACGCTAACCCCTTTGCAGATTTCATGAGACTTCCCATCCAAATGAAGCAATGTAGGGCCACCACTCATTTCAGCGCCGATGCCATTTTTGACCAGAGTTTTGTTTGTCCAAAGAACATTGAACGTCCTCAGAACTGGCCAATCACAAATACCGACAGATTCTTTATTCCAGATCCAGAACTTCAGGGTTATAATCAGTAAGTCTGAGATATGTATAATTTAGAATTAAAAAGATACACTTTTAAGCGGATTATTTGTTAGTAGATATACATGAAATAAGCAATAATTATTTATGGTTTTCTTTTATGGCATTATAGGCAACCCCATTATTTCTGAATTCTCTTTTTATTCACTAATAGGCAACCTCTCTACAAAGCTTTTGCTAATCCACAAAACAATCCAGATGCCATGGCTTACTACAAACAGACATATGACGCCTTGGAGACATGGAAATACTCCGGACTGGAGCAGGAGTTCTCTCAGTGTTTCTCCGATCTCTACAGATACGAGTAAGTTTTTATTTCATATATACCACTGCTTCCTGAGTATTAATATTCACTGCAACGAAGTCTTCCTATAAAATTTCATATATCTTTATATGAAACAATAAATTCAATAAAATTTTTATGATTAATCATTTTTCTTCACCAGAGATGCCGTCCAAATCACAAAATATAAACTTGATCCTGTCTGTAAGACAACACTGGTCAATCTGACCGATGAGGCTATCTGGCACAACTATAACGGGAGGGACTACAAGTGTTTCATCCCCTTCCCCCAGCAACTCACAGCCGTCAAGTGTACTCACCCGTAAGTAACTTTTCAAACAAGTTTATTTAGATTTTCATTGTAATGGTGCAAAAGATTTGTAGAAAATAGTCAGGAAAGATCAAAGGAGGAATTTGTTAGTGGTTTTAATACGTAATGAGCTAAAGGACATTTTATAACTTGAATGCAAATCTGATATTGTCATTTCTTCTTCTAGACGATACTCGAATATGGATAAGTGCCGACTTGGATATGGTGTCAGAAATGAATACAGATGCGCTCCAACCAACTTTGTCCGCAGGAAGGTTAATCTTGTTTGTCCAGAAATCCAGATGGTCTTTGTCCGATCCTTCGATGTCCCAACCGCCTGCAGCTGTAAACTGTGTTACGAATGTGATAATGTCATCCCTGATCCAAGAGCCTACTTGGGGTTTCCTAATGTTGGAAAAAAGTAAACTGAAGGCAATGCAGAACCAAATTAACTTAAGATGATCTTTACTAAGGGTTATCTTCTGTTAATAACTGTCTCTTTTCATTGCTATGAAACTGAAACAACCAAAGTGCCATAATGTGCGCATCTGAATTAAGGTCTTTCGAGAGTGAGTTTGTGTGTGTGTGTGTGTGTGTGTGTTTGTGTGTGTATAAATCACGTTCGGGCATGTGCAATTTCCTTATTTGGTATGTGATGTGTAATTTATTTTGTCTTTTTTGTAATTGTAAATGCCGAATTTTGTATTATCATCTTGTATATTATCATCCTTCGATTATTTGAAGTCCCTATTATACTGTTGAGATTTTTGGTGCAATAAAAACTTAAACCTTACTCCACGTCTTCTCTGATTATTTACATGTAGGACAAAGGATCATTATTTGTGGGCCTTTCACTGGTTAATGGTGACGTCTCTATATGAGTGAAAAATTCTCGAACAGGACGTAAAACAACATACAATCAATCAATCAATCATTATTTGTGGACTTTTCTAGATAAGTGAACACTGAACTTTAAAAAAATATATGAACTAAGAGGAAGTCCTGTATGGTCCATGTAAATATTTAATCAAAATTCTCAACTGATTTAATAACCTAGATTTTTTTCGTCTTCAAAATGATAATCTGGGCCTTTTTAAGAACTTTAAATTGATATGTATATCGATGATGTTTCAAAAATCACACTTGGTTGGAAGTTTGAATTTCTTTAATCCTTGAAATTAAATACTACGAACATCAAAACGCTAACCCTAACCCTGACGTTTTGGCCCATTCAAGATTTGATTGTTTGTATTAGATTCTAAATTTTAATATCTACCATGTTTAAACGTTGAAAAATTAAAGTTTAAAGTCAGTTCGGAAATATTAAAAGAGGAAAATTAAATTTGTTCATAGTAAAGTAAAAAAGTAAATTTTCTATCGAGAGATGGATTAAAAGCTCGAAATATAAATAAAGTGGTTTATGAAATTTTCAATTTACTACACTTTAAATACGAGTATAATATTATGATGATTTTGAAAAATGTATAGAAGTAAAAAAAAAAAAAAAAAAAGAAAAAGAAAAGATTTGTGACCAAAAATTTTGAATTATAAATAATAAAAGTCAAAAGTTTTCGTTCTTCAAAGATAAAATTTCGAACAAAAGTATCTAAATTCTAAAACTTTGAACAACTCTAGAAATTTTAAGTGTAAATGATACAAAGAATCCTCATCTTTTAAGTTTAAAACAAATTTTTGAAGTCTTTAAGGCTGCTTGGAATTGAAGCATTCAAACAATAACTGACATTTGAAAAAAAAAAAAAAAAAAAAAAAAAAAAAAAAAAAAAAACTTTACATAGACAAGATTTGATGTTTATAAAACATCCGTGAAAAATCACTACCTATGAGGACTTTTTTCTTGCTTAATTTTGTGTCGGTCAGAAAGACAGCGCAACGTTGCCTTTGCATAAAAAATATTTTAGTGTCCGGAACATATTACTTGTAGAAAATATACGGAGTTATCAGAACGTACCTGATAGAATAGGTCATCTTTTTGTTTTTGTAAAGGTCCTAAGAGCTACATATGTACGTTTTTTAAGTTCTTTTAAATCACATTATTGAATGATGTGTCAATTGATTTAAGAACAGGGCATATTTTTTCCACATCTTTTTCTCTGTAACTCACATATTATAGCCATTTGGCTATCTCTTTGAAGATGATAAGTCTCAAATGACAGCTTTAAGAATTTTTTTTTTTTTTGGTACAGGGAACTTTGATGATGAATAGTCATCTCTTATAAACATAGGAATAGATTATGATTTAATTTTTTTTTTCTGTGTCAAAAGCAATCTGAATCGTAATTTTTCATATGTAAATGCAGAAATCAAACAGCTTTAAAACCCTTTATAAGGAACATAAATGCTCTCATGACTTCAGTCGAATTTCTTTTGTCTACAACGTTTTCGACTTAAAATAACATATGTCGATGACCTTCATAGAGTTATAAATTGTACATGCATAAGTCTTTCAGTTTACAACTCATCACATGTTGGTATTTCTAAAATACAAAATAAAGAACACATAATCATGCAAAGAGTCTGATATTCAGTTCAAATGATATGATTTACAGAACATATTCTTTATAAACTGGGAAAGAGGAACTGATAAATAATGTCACTTATTGATTGAACAAAAATGATCTATCAAAGAATTAGTCATAAATCAACATGAGTGAGACGTGAGCAGCATATTTATTTTCCATATATACACATGTATAAAATCGAGTTGGTCTGTCTTACAAAACTACATATGTGTAATTCTCTTTCTTGAAATTTTCTTCATCGAATCATAAAATCAATTATATTAGCTTAAATGTTTATATATAATCTTACTAAGGCATAGTAAGAAATCCTGCACAGAATTAAGAGATTTTCATCATAATGACTAATATTTAGACGACATTCACTCATAAAGCAGAAAATTAACAGAGAATTTTAAAGGGCTTTCAGTTGCCTATAATTAAGACTGGTGATCAGTTTTAAATTAGGTTTCAATTTGAAACTCTTTAAAAGTTAAATTTTCTGTTATTTTTTAGTTTTCCAAACATGTGTTGCTACTTGAACTGATTTTCTGCAACTTGGAAAATCAAACATTGTACATGTAATATTCGATTTTGTAAATTTGTTTTATATTAATTTTCATTTGTATTGTATAATTATCCATTTTTATGGCATATCTTTTTTTCCATTTCTATTCTCCAACTTTTCATTTGTATTATATAAATTTCCATTTGTATAATTTTCCATTTTTATTGTATAATTTTCCATTTGTATTATATAATTTTCTAGATAGAAAAAATACAATACAAAATGGAAAATTACAGAATAAAAATTATAAAATACAAATATAAATTATACTATACAAATAAAAGTTATATATACAAATGAAATATTTTACATTGTAAATGTGAAATTATACAGAACAAATGGAGAAGATCAAATATTGCCATGTTTATCATACCTTTTATAGTTAGTTTTCATCAAAAGTAGAAATTCTCTCAATACACTTCGTGAAATTTTCAACATTGAAAATAAATGTCGAAATCTGACTTATATATAGATGACATTATGAAAAAATTAGAATTTCTTTTAATGAAACATGATATTAAATGAGTTTTTCGAGCAGATGGATTATAAAATTTTAATTATTTTATTAAATAAATGCCGTTGCTGAGCTCTTCCAGGTACATGTAATTATTTTGATTTTCACTGACGTCGGTGGTTTTTACCGTCAAAGGCCCAGCAAGACTATAATTATTCTAGTTCTTGTCAAATCAGGACACGGTTCATGTCTACTTCTATAGCTACACAAGGCAATCACTCGGCACACCTCGGCCGTTTCGTACCTCATCTCATTGATGAAGGCGATGGAATCATCCGAGGTTTGCCGAATGATAAGACAATGTCAATTTTCCTTGGTAAAAGACATAAACAGTTCTTTCTAATCTAGTTTACGGCGGACTGATTTGTTATTTGAATGACAACAATATTAAGTCAGAATAACATACAATTATAAGAGATTTACATTAATTTATACACCAAGAAGCGGTATTAACATAATTTATCTTTTAGTGTATTGAAGAAAGGCAATGATCTCGCTATTCCTGTTCAGTTCATTACTGAATGTTGAGCATGGCAACTTAATGTTTTCGAGGGTTTTTTTTATGTTTTAGAGATTTTATTGACAATATGGCAAAGGGATTGGACACAAATTTCAAAAACCAAGGTAGTCCTCATATATAAAATCTAAATAGCACTAAATAGTACAACATTTTAATTATTGAAAGACGCTTCGTTTTTTTTTTCCTTAAAGAGTAATGTACAATTTAAAAGTGTACTTAAAGTCAACATCTAGACAGTTTTTAAAGTAAACAAGAGTCTCCGGTCTTCATGTGTGACATGTGTCACATATTAAGTTAAAAAAAGTCCTTTTCATTTGTAAACTTCCAATCAGGGATTTTTTGGTTTCAATTAAAAGAAAAAAAGTGTTTTTATAAGCAAAATATTTATTGCATAAAAATATTGCACATTAGAAATAACTCTCTCACGTCGGGCACTCACATACAGGTTACATATTGGATGATGGGCGATGTACAGATATGGGCAATATGTATACACATATAGGCGAAGAATTTGGCACTTTGGATTTTTGCATATTTGAAGTAGGATTTTAAAAACACCCTTTCATGTTTACATTGTATGAACTGTGTTAAAAAATCCTATCTCAATAACAACATAAATTTTAAACATCAATAAATTACAAACATATATTAAATTACAAACATATAACAGTTATTTGAAGTCCCTATTATCACAGTCAATAATATCAACATATATTTATACTGATATACAGATCGTAGATCATTGAGATATATTGGCAACATTCAATACAGAACCGAAACAAATGAAAAATTCCAGTTCAAAACAACACAAAAGATTTTTAAAAAAATTAAGTTTGAATTACCGGTGGACAAAATTTCTCTTTAAGTATTACAAGAAAAAGAATATCTTAATACAGTAATTTTTTTTAAAAAATCAAAAAATTAGAAAGAAAAAAATCCGTGGTAAAAAACGTATTTTAACTAGTTCTGTAAATTAAAATTGGTAAATTATTTCACATGGTCATTTGAACGGTTTAGCCTCGTAGGAAAGGGTTACGTTTGGGTATGGTGCTGACACACTTGACCTCCTGTAGACTACATGTCTGTGGGAGAGCGAAGGTCCGGGTCCGGCACTGGGGGACGATATCTGGGCAGTACATGATGACCTCTCTCTCCTGGATCATCTCTGGGAGGCACTGGTAGGCGGGGCTCATCTTCACAGTCAGGGCAGGTAGTTTTCTATAGACAGGGACAAAACATAATTAACTTCTGATAATGCAATGATATGATATGAATATTTTTTGAGAAATAAAAATATGAATCTGCGACCAAATGCACTGTTCCTAGGTCGATAATGTTTAAAATTAATTATGAATGCAATCCATTCTTGTTTTAATGAAATGGATTTTTCGGAATACAATTTGAGGTAGGTTTAAAAATTCCCTCTTCATCATTAAATTGTACTTTATTTGAGCACCATTGAGACTGTTTAGCTCAGAAAACATGTTGAAGGGAAATAAAAATAAGCACAAAAACTTACTCTCCACAGGTGGTGTACCAGAGTCTCTGGGTGGGGGCCACGTAACAGCGGTAGGTACCGTTCATTCCATTGTGGTCCTCAATAGTGAGATAGGCTCCCAGAACTGGCACTCTCTTCTGGATGCACACGTCCTTACAACCAAACTCGTACTTATCGTGCTTAAAGTACCTGTATAACAACATACATTGGATTTAACTAAAGCTCAAGCAGAGTTACATGGTTGGTGAGCTAAGAGAATCAATTAAATCAGCTTTTATGGAAAAAAAATTAAACAGAAATATATTTATATTTGCCAAGCTTTGTAAACATAGAAGGCTACACCCTCATAACTAACCCTCATGTAGTCAATTTTGATATTCAACAGAAAGCTTTAAAATGTACATTTGAGGAATAGTATACTTCTATGTACTTATGTGGCTTATAATGATGTTGGAAACAGTGTTCATAATTCTTTCATTGTTCTTTTTTATATTTGTTTCATAAAAAGAGTTTCTGGTGCGTTTTCTTTGCTATATTCATAACAAGAACAAGAAGTATTATGTATCCTTATACAGAAAATATTCAAGATTAATAATCAATTTGGATTTTTATTGACGCATGCCATTATCTGGAAATGAGAACCCATGCTACAGTGCATTATTTACTTCTACCGTATTTTTAAGGAGAGAACCCTTACCCGTATTCACTGTAGTCCAGTGGGTTGTAGTATTGATTAAAGGCCTGAAGCCTGTTCCATTCTTCTGCGTTGGTTCTGACGCTTTCCATAACTCTTCTCTCTTGTCTAGATAAGAAAAAAAATCATTTAAATCTCATACATGTTAATAATGCTAGTGTGTCGTACATGAAGTAAATGTACCCATTACGATTAAGAATGAGGAATACTTTCATGTTAATTACCTTATCGGTTTTAAAAAATAAAATATTCCCAATAAAATCATTTTTTGTAACAGGAGTGAAATTTTACAATACCTTAAATAAAGACTTTCTAATGAAACTTTGTCTTATTAATTTATAGATTCTTTTAGTACGCTCTTTCAAATCATTCACTATTTATCAGAGTTACAACTATATGAGAAAAAATTTAAAACGTGAGAAAAATCCTAAATCCTTACTCTTCATTCCATTCTGGGGTGATGAAGTCCTCGGGTTTTACAATCTCAGCGTGGCCGGAAGCCTCACATTGTTTTGGGGTAACAGGTTTACGCCCCCTGCCCCTCCCACGTCTCAGACTCTGGGTCAAAAACTGACTTCCGAAGGACTTGGGTTTAGAGATGGCGGCCTCAGCTAGAAGGGCCGCGAGACAAACTACCCCTAGGGAAATAACAAGCTTGGCAAGCTGCAAGAGAAAAGGCCATGTATTTAAAATACAAAAAAATCTTTGAATTTTCAACATTTAAATCTATCGAATAATGAATTATAATTGAACGATTTAACAAATCTTAACATGCACATAACAACATTTTTTTTCAAATTACAAAAAAATTATTAAAAGAAAAAAAAGTAAATGTAGATTAATTTCATTCCAATTGTACGATGTAAATGTTGTCTTACCATTTTCTTGTCGTATTTTTTTTATTGCTATGGCTGTCTCAAGCCTGGATATGTTTGACGGAATCCTGTCTATACTTATATACAGACGTACCGCGGTAAGGACGTCCCACTTTATTCCGCCCCGCCCATTTCACACTCAGGGGCTGGTTCGTTCCAGGGGATGACGTATTCCTGTCTCGTTCTGCTTCGAGGGTCATAAAAGCCAAGAGTTCGCGCGACGTCACGCTTTGACGAATGGCTGACGTTTTTACTACCATGCTAATTACTACCCATTGTTTCAACTTGGCAAGGTCAAATAAAACGACACGATGACGTAAATAAAAATATACCAACATAAAAACAAATAGATTAAAATAAATTGTTAATTAATACCAATAGATTTGTAATAGATCCGTTTCCTTGTATAGGATTGCTAATCTGTCATTGGTATCCATGTTTTGATTTGTTGTGTTTGAATTGAGAGGGAATTCCCTAAAATGCATGCGTGTATCCGTTTCATGCTTTGTTCATAATGACAGAATTCTTACCAAAAGTGTTTCGATCTTGTCCCCGAGAATACAGCGATGCAAGAACAAGGTTTGGGGGTGGGGTAAAAACTGATAATGGCACACCAAATGAAAAATTGACCAACAACTAAATAATGTTTTTTTCGTATATATGGATATTTTACTTTGTAGTTATTCTAATGGACCCCCCCCCCCCCCCCCCAAAAAAAAGTTTATTTTATTCAATGCTTACGAATTAAACAAAATTGAAAAATGATTAATATTGACTTTAGAATTAATATTTACAATGTAAACACAAAAATCCATTATAAACATGTTTAGAAAAATTGTGAAATGTGAAGGACATTTCTCATTTCTGAAAATGCAAAAAATTAACATATCAGTCATGTTTGTTTTATTCTGTTTTAATGTGTTTTCAGCAAACATCTGAAAATGAAATAAAGTTAATGTTAATGTAATCTGATGGAAGAGAGGGCTTGTGAATAGACGGGCTGTAATTCACCTGAATATATCATCCATGATGGATCTATCTGTTAAGTGATTTGTACGCTTAATCATTGGAATTCCCGTAACTATAAAAGTTTATTCGAATACTAATTAAAAATTACGTAATTTAAATGCTTAAGATGTCAAATATTATTTACTTTTTTTGTGTTGAAACTGCATCTAGTCCGTATTAATTAATGAAGATCTGAAAAAGTGTCCTAAACTGAACTCAGCTGTAACATTTCTAATGACCAATATTTGACTTTGAATAAAAATATACTTTCTCTCGATAAAAGGTTTCTTATTTAAACAAATATATACACTTCATGCTCAGTCAATATGCTTTTCTGTGAAGTCGATATATTTATAAATCGACCTCATAAAAAGGCTTTATTTGTATAACATATAATAACCACTGATTATAAGTCAATCATAATTAGATATTGTGAGATGGTTAATGTTCACATTACTAACGCATGCGCTTTCTCGTTCAAATGTGTTGACACTACTTATTTTTTAATTTAAGTTAAAAAAATTATAAAATTCCCGAGTTCAAATATTCAACCAAGAAGGAGCTCAAGTTTAAAATATAAAATCAATATAGAAATTTATTACAAAATTTGATTATGTGGCTTAGTGATTAGTGCCCCCTTTTACAAAAAATCTTACGATTAATACAAAAATATTCCCATTCCTCAAGAGGTATCCAAGTTTTTGTAGGACACAAAAAAATCTTATATATCTATTATATTTAATTACATTATAGAAAATATTCAAGAAAATATAAATATTTATTTATTACAGAAAAAATACAGAGTTGTCAATTTTTTATCTTAATCGTAAGCTAGATGTTTTGAGAAAAGGGCCACTGGTCACCTAATTAGTCAGATAGCTGAAATATCGGCGATGTACTAAAGATGTTGATTTTGTTCTGTGAATCTATTACACCGGTGTCAGGAAGTCAGGGAGAGATTTTGACTCTCATTTAACTTCACTAAATGTAAGAAATTTGCTTATGAAGGAAAAAAGTACACTTATTTTCATTAAATCGCGTTTGGTGAACACACACACACACACACACACACACACAGATGTGTATCATACTCGTACAAAATAAAATGGAACAGTCCATAAAACATCATTTTTGATTCCGAACAGTTGACAGGCATAAATGTGCAATGTACAGATCCAGTTAAATGTGGAGGATATGTGCGGGGGGGGGGGGGAGATGGGGGTGGGGATGGGGTGGATAACATCCTTTTAACCCATACCTCACATAGCCTTTACACAAAATATTATGATGTGAACATAACATCATATGGCTAGCACTTGCGATAAAATAGTAGGATGAAATCAAGAATAAGGTAACAGGAGTTATTTTTCTTGACGAAAATTAGACACATTGGAAATGAAGGTAATGTTCTGAAGGGATTGTGGTACGTCACACAATTAAAAACATCAGTATAATTTACAAATTATGTCCACGAAATCTTTCTACCTGACCCCCTTTTTTACATTCAATAAAGTGCTACTCCTACAATTATAGAAATAAAGAAATTGTTTGAGAAAATCTGTTCAGTGTATCAGCTAATTTTTAATCATTATATTTATATAGATTTACATGTAGATACTTTTATAAATTCTCCAACTTAGTAATAAAATTGTGTATACAGGTATAGACATATTTTTGGTCTGTCTATTAAAAAATTAATATGAAAAATGTATAAATGAGAAAAAAATTAATTAATTAAATCTTTCACTTATTCAAAGTGTACCTACCGTCACTCATTTCCAATTTGGGCGACAAATACAAAATAGAGTTGACAGAGTTATCGTTCATTATCACTCCTCGCTTAACGTTTCACACAAAAGCAGGTCTCTCTCTTATGATGAATACATATCATAAAGTCGTTTTGATCTAATACGAAAAATGAAAAAGAACAAAAAAGATGTCTTTGATATTATACGGTAGAAATCAGCGTTGAAAAATAGTGTCCAAGATCTGATTGTCGACAAGCATAAATTCTGTTAAGTTTGATATTGCTCAGAATGAGCAGTGCTAAGATCAAGTAATATACTACTGAAATGTTCATTTAAAATCAGGAAAGATATATAAATCAAGAGAAAAAGGGAAGGGGGTGGGGGTACATTCTTACTGCAAAATGTTTTGCAATTGTCATAAATTACTAGTATCGATGTAGGTCGTTTATTATTTATAGCTTACACAAGTAATTATTTTACCTTATTTTTCAAAGTCATGTCTAATCTTGGCGTCCACGTATATTCTTCAATTTTTAATTCCAGTACTTTAAAATTACAATAAGCTGCAATGAAAAAAAAAAAAAACGTACTGAGAAAACAGTCTAGACAATGACGTCAGATGTAAAATTGATTATATTGTTAGGAGTTACATTTGATCTTTTATAATTTTATTTTTACTTTAATTACTTATTTTCAAATTAAGAATTACAAAAATATATGCACATAACATTTAGATTTACTTTTCAGTATACTAGACTTTGACCCGTGCATGCACGGGTTGACATTGTTATGAATGCATCCATGTGCATATCGGACATTTACAAAATAGATACATCGACACATTCATATTGTAAGGTACTTTTGAAATAAACAATGAATGTGAATATAATTCTGTTTGTTGTTGTTGTTTTTTTTTTTTTTTTGGTTCTTAAAATTGGTGCGTAACGGCGTAGCGCAGAATGGGTTTGACCCCAAGTTTAGCTATAAATCAAGCCATGAGTTCGAATGACGCCGGAGCTTACATAAATTTCACCTTTCCAAACAAATTTAATAAAAGAAATTATGGATATTTATTGAAAATATAACAACAAAGAGTTGAGCACTGCTGATACATATCAAGCAAAGTAATGAAAATGAAGAAATGTGCTAAGCTCACACCTTTTAGCTATTGAAACTGGGAGATATAATAAAACTAACAGAGCCCAGAGGAAATGTTTTTCGTGTCATACTTGTGTTGAGGATGAATATCATTTTATACTAGAATGTCCTGTTTATGCAGATTATCGAAACAAATTTATTAAAAAATATTTCTTTAAAAAACCATCCATGTTTAAATTATTGCAATTGTTCAATACAGAGAACTATAAGGATATGTGTAACCTTGGTAAATATATTTATTATAGTATGAGGCGAAGAGATCTTGTAATCCAATAATTGTAATATTTTACTTCTTTTTATTTTATTATTATTTATGTACGTACACATTGTTCTCCTGTAAATCATCCACTTCTGTACTGTATCCGATTGTACATTGTATTATATTGTATATACTGATAAGCTGTAAAGCTTAAAGTAATAATAAAGAAAGAAAGAAGCTGGTATTTTTACACAATCAGTTATTAAACTAAAGGTGTAATAAATTTTGTAACAATTTTAACACTGCAGGTCTCAACTTGTTCAAAATATGACCTCAACAATAAAAGAGTTATTAAGCACTGCTACTACATATACTTTATATATACACAGGTAATAGACATGTATATAATCTGTAAAAGCAGAAATGAAAATGGACACATGTGCTATACTGGTATTTCTACACAATTTAGCAGATGTGAAGCAGAACAGATTATCTTGCAACAAATACCCCCCCCCCCCCGAAAAAAAAAAAAAAAAAAAAAAAAAAAAAAAAAAAAAAAAACAAACAAACAAACAAACAAACAAACATACTGGTTGTTCAAGAGATCATAATAAAAATTAAGAATATCAAATGTACTTTATCAAATATATGATATAAGAAAATGCTCTCATGACTGTCTGTTTTGATAAAAATTAATGTAATATCCTTGAATTAGTAATATTTTGAATTGATTCGATTAAACCCAAACCTCGGTTTTTGAATAATTTTGATTCGATTTTTGGAAACAATATGTTTGCTTCAGTTGTGTTTAAACCTGTTATAGTTATTGAAAATTCGAAATAAATAGTAACCAATTTGAAAGTTTTTTTCATCTTTTATGATTCAACAAATGTAATGTGTTTTACTTTTTAGCTCACCTGAGCTGAAA